CCTTTCAGTCGGTCACTATGAGTCACGTCGTGACCGACGAATTGGATCTCGCTTCGAGAGAGCAATCTACTTCGAGTGTAACTAAACGAGCCAATGCACATTGGCATGCAATTATTGCATCCAGCTGCCGCTGATCACAGCATGAGCATAAAAAGGCAGCCGGTGCAATGCATACCAGCTTTTCGCTTTGGAGCCGAGTGACAACATCGTTCTGCTCCATCCAAGTGTCTTCAGTGAGCTACGAGTTCAACGCGCTCTTGGAAGCTTCTGGTGTTGGCGGACGGCGCTTCAGCGGTGGTCGTTCCTGTGTCGAGTGGGTTGCGCACTTCAGGCTGCACTACCCCCCTGGCGGCTGCTGGGCAAGGGCTACTTCCGGCAGTAGCACGGGTGGTTTGAGGGTTACAGTGGTGGCAAACCCCTCAGGGAACCAACCCTCGGGGGGCCATCGCTCCTCTAGCGCTTCAGATCCAGTTGAGCGGCCCTCTTCAAAGAGCGTACCAGTGGTATCCTTTGGTGCTCTTCCCAACGACCGGATGTTGATCATCAGAGGGAGAGCTCTCTGGAGAGGAAGATTCGATTGCGCTGCCGCCCTCCGGGGCGGTGGCAAGGCCTGAATCGGATCCGGAGATGTCGGCTATGCTTTCCCGGGCCGCCGAGAGGGTAGGGCTCGAGTGGAAATCTCCACCGCGTCCCGAGCCCTCGAGGCTGGACGATTGGTTTCTCGGGGTGGCTCGCGCTGGTTCTCAGCGGCCATCGAGGCTCGCGCTGGTTCTCAGCGCCCCATCTCGGTGCCCTTCTTCCCGGAGGTGCATGAGGAGCTCACCAGGTCACGGACGGCACCTTTTACTGCCGGAAACCGATCTGCTGGTTCCTCCTCCCTCACCACCCGTTGACGGTGGTGCAGCTAGGGGGTATATGGGGGTCTCCCCGGTGGAGCGGTCGGTTGCGATGCAATTGTGTCCTAATACCGCCTCCACCCAGCAGGGCGAACGGGGCCTCCCTTCCCGGGTCTGTAGGTACTCGTCTGGCCTGTCCGGCGATGCTTATACGGCCTGTGGAGAAGCTGCCTCCGCCTTACACGCTACGGCGTAACTGCAGGTTCATCAGGCCAAGGCACTGAGGGACCTGCACGAGGGTGATCCGGAAGTTCTGAAAGAGCTCCGAACCGCTACTGATCTCGCGCTCTGAGCGACAAAGGTCACCGCGAGTTCTCTGGGTCGTGCGACGTCCACACTTGTGGTCCAGGAGCGGCATCTCTGGCTGTGTCTGGTTGATATGAGGGACGGCGACAAAGTTCGGTTCCTATTCTGCTCACAGGTGATTGGAGATGAGTTTTTTGTTATCACTTTGTTGCAGTTTGCCGATTTTTGTAAAATAACATATGTTTTTGCTTTTCAGATAAAAGAGTGGTTTCAGTTTAATATGTTGCAGGTTCATTAATTGGTAATAAATAATTGATAATAAATAATATTGATGATAATAAATCATCCCAAAAAAATATTGGGCTTGTTTTGAGCTTGTTTTTTGAGCTGCGGTTGCTTATTTATCTTGCGAGAGTTGGCAACAGTGTATAAAACCCATTGCTCCTAAGGAATGTCACCATAATGATAGGAATACCTGTGTGTGTGTGTGTGTGTGTGTGAGAGAGAGAGAGAGAGAGAGTGTGTGAGTGAGTGTGTGTGTGTGTGTGTGTGTGTTTGTTTTTGTTACATGGTGAGGACCTCAACATGTTAGCACACTCACATAGTGGGGACCAAAAACATAGTGGGGACCGAATCCCCGGTCCCCACAATGTTTTGCTTGTAATAGGCTCAGGAGGCGTTGCTGATATGCCTAGTGCAGTTTTTTTCTGAATCCCCTCCATGAACAAAAACCGGATTTCTGTGTGTGGCAGCGCTGTTCTACAGCGCCCCTGTAGTCTGGCTGCAGAACTGTACCTCTACACACACACACATACTTTACCTACTGCTCATGCGTGAAGCACCTGACCAAACCAACGTTAATCACCGTTAATCAAGGCCAATCAATCTTCATCGACGGATTCATCAATCGTTTCAGGTAATTAGACAGTTTCTTTCACATTATTTTGATAATTCAATAATCAAAAGAAGACATCGCAGTTTAATCCTTCGTGAAATATCTGAAATGTAGTTATTGAATGTTTTTAGGAGATGTCTGTGTTTAATTGTTGTTTTTTTACCAAAAAATATGGCGAATACACTGATAAACTTAAACTGTCGGCACAGAATTTAACGTGTTTACATGAGGGAAAAGATTATGCTAACGTGCTACTTTTCCGGCACCGCGTGGCATGCGATTAAGAGGCCGGAGTGAGGTATGTGATTCCCAGGGAGACGCTGAATCGAGTGCCGGTGACGCGGCCTGCTTTCGGGGAAGAGGCGGAGGAAACCGGGGAAAGAGGCGGAGGAGCACGGTATCAACGACTAAACAAAACCGAATATAAAAAAGGTAGGTTACTGTAGATTTACTATGGTATTTTAGTAAATTCACAGTTACCACAGATGTACCATTATTTTACATTCGTTTAACTATTTTTAAAAACATGATATTTTCAAATGATAATCAATTTTCCATGTTTTATAGTTATATTATAGTAATACCATGGTTGTTTTTCATAAGAGTGCGTTCCAAGGTCATAGAAATCTTAAATAAATAAATAAATTATCAGGGATAATTTAAAGTTCTGATTCTTAGAATTGTTTGAGTTAAGATTAATACCCTTACGAAAATTAACCATGGTTTTACTATAGTAAACCATGACTGTAGTTTTAAAAACCATGGTTCAAGTACCACAAATTAACTATGGTTGTAATACCATAGTTTAATCATGGTTTTACTAAAGTACCTCAAATTACATTTAAGCCTAGTTATTCAACAAACATCTACAAAATAAATACAGAATGACAAGTTACTATTCTATGATACAGGCTTTATTACAGCAGTTACATCATCTGAAAGAATATATGAACGGTTGCAGTTGTTCTCACATGACAAAATGATTCAGAACTATGAACTACAACTTTATAAAAAAAATGGTGAAAAAGCACTGCAGTGGTAGAGATGGTTTTCTGCTCATTTACAAAATAAAAATGGCAAATTGTTTCACTGTAATAATGCATTATCTCTATAGAAATTAATTACATGTTGTACAAATAAACATGACT